CTGACTGGTTTCAGATGCAGCTGCTGATATGCAAGCATGTGCACCTGCAGAGCCAGAGTCATACATGACCAGCGATTTGTCTAATTCTTGTTCTAGAAAGCACTTGAGTGGACAATTAACATTCATAAATAACAAAATGATGAGAAACAATTATTTCAGAAAATTTCAGTGTGCCTACAGTGACACTATCTGAATTGAGCCACCATTGTCTTCTGTAGAGACACTTTATAGCTGAATTTAATTCGTTTCATAATTGATGAACTTAACTGTCATTTTAGAATGCATGTATCAATTTTTTGAATTAGACAATCATACAGATATATAATATAAAGCACACGTCCAAGAGGTCTGTTAAAGGGATATTTCACCCAAAAATAAGAATCCTGACCTACTTCACTTAATTACCCTTACATTGCTCCAGACTTCTTTTATGTCTCACAGGAGAAAGTCAGTCAGGCAGGTTTGGAACAACGTGAGGGCGAGTACATAATGTAAACTTTCATTTCTGGGTGAACTTGGACAGCATCTGTTGTCTGTTGTTATCCTCCACCGGCTGGTCACTCACGCTTTACAGCAGGCGGTGGTCACACTAACGCCAATTCCCTTCACCGCTCGTGTTTTGGCTTCAGCAAATCAGATTTGGCAAATGCAAACAACGTTATTACTTTTCATGAGTCCAACATGCAGCCGGTCAAGAAAACATGCAATCTACCTGAGCCGTGATCAATAAGAGAAGTCGTCTTTCACTATAGTAATGTTGTTGAATAGAGAAAAACATTTTACATTTAAGTAACTTCTAGCGTATTCTTAACCTTGGACCTTATTCTTGAAACACAAAATGACCAGTAAAATAAAAAGTGTAGCCCATATAAAATCTATAAGTTGTTTTTAATTTAAAAATACGAGTTTTCATCTAATTTTCATATGTTCCTTACATATATTGTCCTGTATCTTCCTTTTCTGAAGTTGGCAACCCCACCTGCCTTGCATAAGAGCATGACATCCCACTCACATCTTTTATGTCACATGCTTGTGTCCAGGTAAAAACCTCATCTGCAGGAGGGTAGATGGTGTGCTTTTGCCTCTCCTCAGCAACAAATGACATTAACTGCGAAAGAGAAACTCTGCTGTGTTACTCTACATTTTAGAAAGTTTCAAATGTCAGTTGTTTTTCATGTGCTGGTCACTTACTGCTCTAAAGTAGGGCTTCCCGAGTTCCGCGCTGAGCGCCGCCTTCCAGCTCTCTCCAAAGCCGCTCGGAAGAGCCTGGTTTCCGGCGAGCCGCTCCAGCGCCGCCGCCTTGTTTCTGGAGATCCGCTGCAGCTGCTCGGGACTCCGCGTTACATCGCCGCTCTCCAACTTCTGTTTCTTGCCCTGAGACAATATTTTAGTACATTTGGTTGAACTCTGTGTTCGCTTGGCAAAAAGACCGGACTTTTCAACATTTAAAAACAAAAACAAAGGCAAGCTATGCTGGGAAACATGCTTATTTATGATATCATAGGAGGTTTTCTCAAAAACGCATGCTTTTTGTAGCATATACGCAAATGATACACCATATATGTTTGCAATCGCGACTATAATTCATGCAATTCTGAGTTAACTTACAACTGAACAGAACAGAAATGAAACGTAAGTTGTTTGAAATAATCGCCACGCGCTTTTGTTTAGGCAAGTGATGTAAAACTAGGAAGCGTGTAAACTTTAGCGGGTTTAACGAAAAAATAGCGAGGTCTCAACCAGAGCCAATTCTATGCGCTACATGAATGACAACATGCTCAACAGATAAATAAAACACGACCACTTTCACTCCTAGTTCACGCTAAATGTGTCGGTATATGCAGCGTGTTTTACTCACAGATGCATCCCCTGGGCATCTAACTATCTCGTCCAGATCTCTTTTTTTGGACATGGGCGAAAAAAATGACGTGATACTTTTCTGTCCAATCATTTCCACAAACAAAATGACTCTTTAAAAGAAATAAACTTGAAAAGCACAATACGCGAGGTACGGAGTGACGCGTGCTAGTGTTTGAAGAGCCGCAACTGTCTCCCGCCAGATGCCTGTGACGTCACTGCGCGAGGGCGTAACAAAGTAACATTCAGCCTGTGTCGGGTGACGAATAAGATAAAGATTGATACATTTAAAACTTCGCGCAAACGTTACTCTTATAATGGCACACTTTCTAAGTAAAGTATCGAGAGAAAGAAGCTCTTTCTGTCATGCAGAAGAGACTGATCATGTTTGTGTTTTTGGAACCTTATGTATCTGTCTCTCGGGGGGATCAGAATATTTAGTGTTCTAATAATAATTTTCTTTATTACAACACACACTTTTGGATTCAGTAATTTATTGTTTATTTATTCTTATTATTTTATTATTATCATTATTACTTTTACAAAAAAATGCTATTTTTAGGTAGGAATAATGTGCTGTCATTTTTTTTAGACTATAATTCTAAAATAGTTTACGATGGGCACAAAAAAAATCTTTGAAATGTTAAAAACTATTTTCAGTGTTTACCCTCATATACATGTTTTTTTATTTTATTTTATTATTGTTGTTGTTTTTAATGATTTATTACATTTTATTGCTGTTGTTTTATACTTGTTGGTATAGTTCATTTAAGTTGATTTTGATATGAATAAAAAAAGCCTGGTAGCGTGGTATGGCTGTAATGTTTTGTAGGCTTCTTTTTCATGTGTTCTGTAACTCTGTTTATGTATATAGCAAGTTTTGTCTAGCTAACTCGGGTTTTTCTTTTTTTGCATTACTGCTAGCCTACTACTATTTCTACTAACAGCCTAATCATGCTTTCATGAAAATGGGTGATGACACGAGCAGAGGGAAAACAGATAACAGAAAAGAGAAGAGAGATAACACTGAATGAAAAGGAAATGAAAATGACAATGGAAAAAAAAACGTACAAGTTCACAAGACAATATCATAACAAAAATAAACCATAGGCATGTCAGCATAACCACAGCGACCCTGTGTGGGCGAATCAAACAGCACATTATACCAGTGTATTCATACGCCACGTGCTTTTCCTCAAATGTGATCATTGTAATAACAATTCTGTGAGGATAAGTATGCACATTTTAGAATATTAACATGTATTGCTGCTGCACACTATTTCTTTCTCACACGAAAAATGAGAAATATTATGAACATTCTTATTCATAATAGTACTCCCAATTTTTTCACATATTTAGAAGGACATATTTTACTATTCTGAACAAAGGTAACACCAACAACACTGCAGCAAACATTTAATAAAAACTTAAAATGAAACAACAAGACACTGTTCAAAACTGCCACCGAAATTATTTAGCTGTTATTTCTGTTAGATGTTATAGGAACATAAAAGACTCCAAATAGAAGTCCTTAAAAATCATTAAAAAAACATTTATGAAAAGGAGTAGCATATCTACTCAAGCCACTTGGTTTGATATTGTAATTTTATTTTATAACTCACCAAGTGTGGTTTACCGTCCAAATAATTCCCTTCTGTAAAAATGAATGAAAAAATAATAAAAATACATAAAATAGACGATGCACCCTTATAGAAAAAAAGAAGAAGAAAGAAAGAAAGAGAAGCAATAATCAGAAGCCAGTGCTGAATGTAGATAATGTGGAGTGTTAAACAAAAACAACAACAAGCACCCCGAAATTAAAATGCTCTCAGATTATTCAGTGATAAATGAAACATTTGTATTACATGTTATGCGTTTGGTAGCTTTGTGAATTGTTGTTGTCCTTTCTGATATTGTCCTTCAGTATCCGACACAAGAATCACCGTGCATTGCTTTTTATTAATTAAAAACATATATAGCCTACCTTCCATAAATCACATTTATAACCAAACCAGGAAAATACAGCTTTCCCCCGGTGCTTCTGGTTTACAGGTCAGATTTGAGTGTTTGTGTCTAAGTGTGCCTAATAGCCTGTACTTGTCCCAGTCAATAGGCTTTTAATATCAAAGCGTCTGAAATAGCATATATGTGTATTCTGAGCACATGTACTGGGCGAGATTATATCATAGAAGGGCTCAGATAATTGTGTGAAGTCTTCCCTAAAGGTTGCACATATTATATTAATAGTAGTAAGGTGAATTTTGACCTGAAAGCGATGGAGCCTCATGCCGACAAAGTTGAAAAACACACAGATTACTGAAGTAATCTCAGGTTTAGATTACTGTTCATTCGTCGCACACCGCTCTTAATCCGCACAAGTAATATCATCCTTAGAGAATAATATGTCCCTGGATATTAGAAAAATGCATCGAGGGAATATGCATATACTGTAAAAATTATATATATTTTATATATGTATATATTTTATTGTTGGCACTTTTTGGATCATTTTAATTTAATTACTGACGAATAAAATCGACACTCTCAGACAAATCCAGCAGGAATCCCTTTTTCCACATTTATCCCCCTATAAGGTAATTGTTCATCTTTAAGATTTTTAAGAGTTTTATATTTTATTAGGTATTATTATTTCATATTGTTACGATTTTTTTTATTTTACTTAACTTTATTCTTTTTATTTTATAGAATATTTACGTATTATTTTTGTTGTGGAAATTTGCATCGAAGCAACTTGATCGAACACCTCCAACATGTTCTGTGGCAACAACAAAAAAAAAGTCTTCGGCGGCCTTTCATGAGAGACAGAAGCAGGCAGGTGAAGTGTGTGCTTATTTGCCTGATAAAAGAGCTGTGACAGACAGACAGACAGACTCTGAATCTCTGCTTTCCTGTCGGCACGCAGCTCCAGGAGATGGCTGTGCGAAGCTGCCAGACATGCTAGTAGAGGGGGGGGATCAAAGTGTAAGGCTTTTTTATTCCTCTCTGATTTAGGCTGTCGCTGTGCCATCGACGACACCTTGAAGGGCGATAGGAGCGAGCGGGTGTGAAAAGGGGCGAGTATAAAGTCGGTGCAGCATCTCATCATTGCGCTGAACCTCTGAGAGATCCGCGCACCACTGAACCTCTACTGCGCTAATTCACCACTATGGCATTCTTTTTTGACCAATCGTTGGATTTGGTTAAAAAAATAAGCGTGGAGACAGAAAGAGATTTTATTTTCAACACAAGCATGGTCCAGTTGACAGGTGAGCATATAAACACATTAAACAGCATGTTGGATTGATACAGGCTATTTTGGATACTCCTTCTTATTATTCTCGCCTGTTTATAGTTAAAGAACTCTGGCATTCTTATAAAGCATTTCTTCCTAACAGTCGAGACGATAGTGTGTGTGTGTGTGTTTTCTGACAACACTTATCTGAACAATTGATCTTTAGATGTAACCAGCAAGCATTCGTTGTCTCCTGAGCTCGAAAGGACTCGGCATGCTGAGGGGCAAAGGAAACGGAAGAGGACGATTTTCAGCCGCGCGCAGTTGTCGGAGCTGGAGCACGCTTTCATGATCACGCCGTATCCAGACATCACTCTGCGCGAGCGCCTGGCTGCACTCACGCTGCTTCCAGAAAGCAAAATCCAGGTCAGAAAACTAGACAATGTTGTGCATTATTATTGATTTGTCTTTGATTTTACATCTTAACATTTTTTTGCAGGTGTGGTTCCAAAACAGACGAGCTCGCAGTATGAAAAGCAAGAAGTCGAGCACAGCAGTTAGGAGGAGTCCAGGCAGGGAAGCGAGCTCTCACTCTATAACCAATCTTGATTCAAACCCGGAACAAATGTATGGTGTTCCAGAACACAGAGACAGGCCAGAGGCCTGCAGAGGCCACCAGCAAAGCCTTAGACCAGCTCTCAGTCCCTGGTCTCAGAATCTTCCGCATCCAACGCCACCCACACCAGCCATTTCTCCAGAGCTGCCCGGAGGTCTCCAGTGGGGCAGCAGACAGTCTGAAACCCCTGGAGCTTCATCTTTCTCCAGCTGCCCATCCGACAGGTTGGCTCACTATCCATTCCAAAGCCAGTCCAGCGGTCACTGGCAGATCAACTGCTTTTCAGCTCACCCTGAAGGCTTCTCCGGGCATCAGCTGAAATCTTATTGTGCTGCCAATCAGGCCATGTATTCTTCCATGTCTGTGGACCAAGCGATGCCTGCACATCAAACCAGTTTGGAGGAAGCGCTGCAAAGACAGGTTCTGACACACTACCCTCAGACCTCACTGGGAGACATCTCCGACCTCATATATAAAGCAGCTGTAGTCACCAATCTGGAAGACTGCTAGTACAGTAGTTTGAACACTATTGTAAAATATTCTCTTTGGCGAACTGACTTGTGTGTCATTACAGTTGTTCATACGTGTTAATGATTTCATGATTTTTTGCTATTTTGATAATTGCAAATGTGAAGAGCTATAGTTTAGGATTGTCCCACAAGATTGTGAAAATGTTATGCAATCTGCCAACTGTAAAAAAAACAAGAGTTGTTTCCTTGTCAGTTAGTTTTTGATTTAATACAGTTATTTTGGTTTTAAACAGTATGTCTTTCTGTAAGTGTGATGGGAAAAGTTTCCTCTGTATTCTGTTTTTATTAAGATGTTTACATGGTGTGCATTGATATTTATGTAAATTAATCACTTGTTAAGCTATTTATTTGCATTCACCTTTAACCAATTAAAGGTATCTTTGTCATATATTTTTTGTCATATATATACAGTGTTGGGGAAAGTTACTTTTAAAAGTAATGCATTACAGTATTGCATTACTCCATAAAAAAGTAACTAATTACGTTACCTAGTTACTTTTTATGGAAAGTAATGCGTTACGTTACTTTTGCATTACTTTTTAAATCTGGACAGGGCTTACTGGTTTGTTTTTAAAATAAAAAAGTTATATTTTTGGCAAATATAAAAGCCTTTTCACACCAAAAGTGAAATGAACAGTAGAATACAGAAGAAGAAATTTCAACACACTTCAGCAATTAAAAAAAGACACTCAAATGTTTGTCTAGAGTAATTTGTGCTTATTAGTACAGTTGAACAGGATCATCGAAGACACTGGTTAATAGAATGGGATTAAATACATAAAGGATATTTGTGTTGTTTAACATTTAATTATTGCAGGTTTGCGTCATGTTCTGAGTTGCATTATTTTTATTCATTTTGAGGAATACTGAATCTGTGTTTTGTTTTGTGAGCGAGATGAATTAATGCATATTCATATTTATTTTAGAACTACAGTAATATATATATATATATATATATAATTTTTTTTGTATGTGTGGTTACACTTATGTGTAAAATGATGTCTGACTATACTAATTTTTCATAAGAAAGCATCTTGTTTGTTTAATAATACAAAACGTACTAATGTACTACATAAATCAGTTTTGTTTTGACTAATCGTTTATTCATAACATCAAAAACATTTTTCTTTAATCTTAAATATAAGACAATCACATCAGATATCAAATGTGTTGCAGTATAGCAGGATAAAGAAATGAACTCTAAATTATACCTCGCCAGAACAAAAACAAAACCTGGGAATAAACAATAAATGGAAAAACAAAACAATAAACGAAAGATTAAAAAAAAATTAAAAACCTCAGGGCTCATGTTTTATCAGTTTATGGGTCTTAGATTACATTTGGATTTGAAGATCCAAACAGTATATTACTATCGAAGTAATTATGGAGAAAATAGCAGAGACCTCCCAGGTTTCCACTGACCTACTGGACACTGAGCTCTATGTATCATAATCATCTCTGCAGCAAAATAATCTTCAAATAAAATAGGAAAAATTCTCATAATCCTAGTGTCAAATCTACAGTCCTTTGTTGTGTGTGTTCCTGATGCAGCTACATCCTTTAATCCAGGAGAAGATATTGAGGGATATGTGCTTATTTTGTTAGAATCAAAACAGGAACTATAATCATAATCATATACAGGTTGATCGGTACACAATGTTAGGTGATCCCGAATAACTCATTTTCATTTCTCCAGATTATTTTTAGATTACAGCACAAGATGGCATGTACAGCCAACCTTTTAATAATAATAATAATAATTATTATTATTATTATTACTATTTCTTATTAAACTTCAGTTTAAGAAGCAAAATACCATGTATCTTAAAAATCAGTTTTATGTCAGTTTTATTTTCCACACCTGGCCTGGTGTCTAAATCTCTCTCAGACCTGCCTTCATTGGTGACAGCTCAGTTTAAGCACTGTGTCTGTTCTCTGTGAAATTAAACCACTATTAAACACCTCAATACACTCTGACGCAGCACTCCATTAAGCTAAACAACAAGCTAGTCTGGCGTTGGTATACAATAGAAATGCTACCAAAATGAATAAAAATGCAACCAAAATTCAAGATATGACCTGCCTCTGTATAAGTTCCTGTTTATTTGTGTTTAGAATATAAAAGAGCTATGCAATATCCCAAGTGCTATTTTCCCGACTATCTTTATGATTGTGATATTTATTTTAAAAGAAATAATAATAATAAAATAATTTTTTTACAATAAGTTTATTACTAAATGGCAATATTTAGACACAACATTGACAATTTTGACTGTATTTCGCCAAACACAGAGTGGTGTTTCTTGAACAGTTTCAATGACACATTCATAATAAGACAGTGGTAACTTATGCTTTGTGAATGAATCAGTTTGAAGAATCAGTTGAATGAATGATTCTATGATTCACTTATTAAGACTTTTAATTTCATACAATTGTAATTTCATTAAATTTTTCCAAAATTTTATATTTTTATATTCAAAATGTATAAACCACCTGATCTCACAACATTATTAATGCCACTGTTACTGTCGGCACATGTATGTTTCTTAGTTAAATTCAAACTGGATTAAAAGATGATTCACAACAAAGAAAGGCCATCCAAACTGAACATTCATCAGAGCTGTTCTGTGTCACGTTCCACGAATGTTTAATGCTTCAGTGCTATGTGCTAAAACTTAGTCAAAAGAAATACATTCACAAGGTGTTTTTCATTACAGGTTGAAATATTCATTACAATATTTCATTACAATATTGCCACATGATTAAACACATGTTTGTAGAAACAGTTTATTAGAAAAGGGACAGTTTTAAATTCTATATTTGACCCTTATGGAAATCTTCTATATAATACAGAGGTACACACACACACACACACACACACACACACTCACTCACTCACTCACACACACACACACACACACACACACACACACACACACACACACACACACACACACACACACACACACACACACACACACACACACACACCCCAATTTAAATGTGTAAAAGTAAATTATAGTATTTTGTATCTTGAAATTACAGAATCTACATGTCAAATTTGCTTTTAAGTTATTACTATAAGTCTGAACCTATTCTGAAAGCAAAGAACACTTCGGTGTACAACTGTTTAGAAACTCATAAAATTAAAAGTAATGTAATGAGTGCATGGAATTACAGTTTTTTACGATTGCTTACACACTAAAATTAAACTTTTCCAACAATTAGCAAAACCTTACACTCAAGGAGCAAAACACAAGGCTAGATTTGCACAACTGTAAGCACATTGTCAGCTTCACACTATTTGCAAAACATTACACACAGTGATTTGCAAAACACTAAACACACTTGTATACATCAGACACAGAAGTAAATCATGATGTCACTTCCTTGTTTTCAAAATTGTGCTTAAGCAATCGTAAAAAACTGTAACTACAACCAAGAAACCTGCGTGCCATCTAGTGGCAAATTTATGCAATCGCATCCCTCTTAGTTTAATGAATTCGGGAGCACTATTCTCTATTAGCTAGTTGTTTACTTGCATGCATATTACACTGATAAACAGCCAATATGCTAGTATTGGCTATTTATTAGTACTTATAAAGCTCATATTAATGGCTTGTTCTGCGTGACCATATTCTAGACCCCTTAATCCACACCATACCTAAACTTAACTACTGCAAACAACTACCTTAATGCTACCAATAAGCAGCAAATTATGAGTTTATTACAGTAAGGGAAAACTCTTAGTTAATAGTGAATATGTGTTCCCTAATCTGAAATGTTATACCATTAACTCTTTCTGTAGTCAATAACAGTGCATGAAAGAAATAAAGAGCATCGCAATTTGTCATAAATCAACAATTTCACAATTATGTGAACAATACACTAAACTGCATATTAAATTAACGTGAGAAAACCCTTAATAATGACAATATGGACATTATAACAGAATGTTTGTGTGTTATCCCTGTCAATTCCTGTCTAGTACACTTAGTCCTTCAGCTAAACGGACTCACGTCTCAAGTTTCTCATGCTGAAACATGCTTATGCCTATGCCAAAATTGAGCTGTGTGTGCACTTTCCTACCATGAAGTAATTCAAATGAGGCAATGTGTCTCATAGCATGTACTAGTGTAGCATGGCAGACATGGAGGGAGTCAGTCACTGTTGATTTCCATGGTGCTGATTGTAGAATGGCTGGCTGAATCACACTTGTCATGTCCTTTTCTTTAAGGAATGCATCAGTCTCAGGTGAAGTGAACTGAGGCCCTTTGTAACTAACTGGAGTTGCCAGGTTAAAGTGTCATTTCGTCTCGAAAGGGCCCACAATGTATATTGCCAATTTTTCCCAAGGTGCTGAGGGCAAAGTTTGGCACTCTTATCCAAAGACAGACATGAGCGTGTCCATATTAGGCCACCAGTCGATTTTACACACTATTTTTTTTTGCTCTTGCAACTCCTTGATGGTAATCAGGACAGCAGTGGACAGCAGCAAACACAGGCTATGGGACTCAGTGGAAGTAATAGGCAACACACTCAGGCTCTGCATGGGACTCAGTAGAAGGCAGGAGGTGAGACAATCAATCCACAGTGCAATTTTCCAATAGTCTATGTCTTTCTGCCATACGTTTCAAACATTGTCTAAAATATTACAAGCTAGCTGTTGTAACTTGTAGGGTAAGATGCCCTCGGGGAAAGATGACTCCTCTATTTTCATTTTTTTCAATTGGCACAGGGGGCCCAAATGTGTTGTTACTAGTGTTATTATTTTTACATTTAATGCTTACTGTAATTTATTAGGTTATTATTTACTAGATGTGCATAGTCACACACACACACACACACACACACACACACACAAACAGGTTAACTGAGTGAAATAATTCACTTTGAATTGAACCAGCAAATGTTTTTATTTATTTCCCTTAATAACACATTATCTGATGCGTCATCAAACTGCACGTGCTAAACTAACATCTAA